TTTTTTTTTTTTTTTTTTGAAGAAGTTCATCAAAATTGCATCATTAACCCTGAACTTAACAAAGTTGAAGGGAAAATATAAACCCTGAACTTTGAATAAAGCATACTACCGTAGGCATCAACACGAACTCCATCATTTCTGTCGTTATCAAATCGTGATTCTTCCTGCCATTGACTTTCTGCTAAAAAAAAAAAAACCTTTTAAAGCAGGAATAATACATTATTGGATTGTTCGGCCGTGTGGATTAAATATTACTACACAATCAAAATTCTATTTAGTATATCATTCGGTGTGTCCAATGTTATGTACTAGATATGTCAAATGTAAAGTGAGAAATGCAAAAGGATCATGGTCTACGGAGTGGACCTGGGTCGGAGTCCGAATCAGAGTCGGAATCGGAGTCTGTGTCGGCGGAGTAATCGGAATTGTTGGTGGCAATGTTGAACCACTTGCGCATAACCACTCGAGCCCAAAAAAGCTGCAGGCATGTGCAATCGAAACACAATTTTTCAGCCCAACTTCTCTGAAATCTCTATAAAGTTATACAAAGAAAACAAAAAGAGAGCAAAAAATACACAAAATAAGCAATGGGGAGATTAAGTGGCACAATGATGGTATTTAATCTACCAATCGGATTATTAGTTGGATGCTTTGACCGGGTGTTTTATTGAATTGTTGATTGTTGCCTTATATTTACAAAAGTGTTTCTTTGTATAATGCGACTTCTTTAATGGGTTTTAACTACATCTGATGTCGCCCTGTACTAACACCGTTGAATGGCTGACCTTCTGGTGACTTCTAATATACCGTTCATTTGCCTAAGGTTTGATAAGTTCATTCATTCTTTGATCTGTGTGACTCTTGTGATTGTCTCGTCTCTTTCTCTTACTCAAAGAGGCAGAAAACTTGGTTTTGATATGCTTTTAGATAATAGATAATATCATTTGTATATAGATCTTGAGTCAGTTGAGTGATTTGTATGTGGTTTGAGTGTTGAGCCTTTGAGTGAACGCTTGTATAGATCAAAGAATTGTTGATGTAATTCTGAGTGATTCATAATGAGTGGTCTAAAAGTATATCTTGGACGGTTACTTTGGTTCTGGTTTTTAATATAGTGGTTTCTTCCGGTGGCGGAAGCTCAAAATTGAATTAGAAACTTTATGATCTGAACATCCTGCCTCAAGGCGAAAATCTCCGTGTTCTCTTGTTTCTTTTAATTTTTGTGATTTTTATTTATGTGATTTGTTGGTAAAGTGTTTAATATTTTTGAACCTAATCTTAACAAGCAATCATTCTAAAAATGGGAAATCTGAAAAAATATATATATAACAATACCTCAGATGGCTGGTGATGAGATCTTGAATTATGCTTCCACATGTTTAAACAAAAAATCTAAATGGAAAATGGTAAGAAATATAAATGGAAAAAATGTGAAAAATATCAGATAAAATGGAAAAAAAAAATTATCATAATGATAGAACCTGTAGGCCGGAGCTCAAGTGGGGTTGTTAATTATACCCTTGTAGTATTATCATTATTATTATTAACGCGAGTGGTTGTGTGCTTGAGGAAGGAGTTTGACTGTGACATTTCCTTGGCGCAAATTCCGCCATTAATTTATTGTACAGGAAATTAATTTACAGTAATAAAATCGAATTGAATTTAGTATTTCAAAATGATTTCAAAAAAAATGCTTAATCGAAAAATTTTGGGTTTTAACATCTGGCAGTGGGTATGGGTGATGTTGATAACAACGAATCTTTTTACATATGAAATTGAATCTGGAAATCTGCCATGAATCGGTGGATCTGAAAATTCTCCATTTTTGTGGCTGATTTTTTATTTAATTTTGGTTTTTTCTAAAACCAGACAGATTTTTTCCCAAATTTCCAATAATCCTTTAACTTAAATGGAGAATGGTTGCTTTCGATCATAATGATGAGGATTGCGCGACTATTTACCTTGCAATTTGCGTTAATCATACTTCATCTTATGATATAGGAATCGGCAGAATTTGCAGAATATTACGAGCATGCTTGGCTTTTAGTTGAAAGAAACTAAAACCACTTTTTCACAAACTCATATCCTTTGAAAAAGTAGAATTCCGATTACCGAAGTTCAAACATTTTTCGACTAAAAAAGTTAAAAACAGATTATCAGAAAATAAGCAAAAAAATCGAAGGATCTTTCAAATAGATTATCAGAAGCAAAATATTTTAATTCAGAAACTCATAACCTCTATATGTTCATTATCCAGTATCAATCATACAAGTATGAACAAGAACTCGCAGCAGAAATAAATGAAAGTGAACCAATATAAAAAAATATTATATGATCGCATGGCCGACTCTACAAAAGTATCACTTTCGGCAAATTTTGAGCGACTTTTAAGCAAGATGAACGTACCTTAAAGATATGGAAGTTGGACTGCTAGCCTGCACTTGCAATGTGAATTGCTTCTTCTGCTACTTCTCAGGACCGGAAAAGAAAGGCACCCTATGCTCGTATATAAATTGGTGTGTACTCGGGAAAGGGAAGAGCGCCTACCTTTTCATAATTTGTAATTCAGCCCAACCATTCAGCTTATGCGACGTGGCAGTTAGTTGTTTAGAAATTTTATATTTTTTTATTAAAGATTTTTATAGTGTCGATGATTTGACTTTGTGGCCGAACAGGTTATAATTTTTTATCCCGCATATTAGTTTTTCCATAAATACAGTAAGGAATAGAATAATGTTATCTAACACTGTCGATAATATATATTCTGCTTAGTAATAATGTTACTTTAGATATGATTTTTACTTTTTATAGAAAGCTTTCTAAAAATATTATTTTAGACCATATTTCTCTAGTGCGGTTTTAGTTAAATAATACAATTTTAGAAGTTTATCCAAGCA